ATTAAGAACCAGTGTGGGGCAGTTGAAGGAAGAGAAAGAAACCCTACAGGTAGAATTGGATGCCCTAAAAACCGAACTTCCCTCAGTGAGGGAACAACTAGATTCTGCTGAAAAAGAAATAGCTCAGCTAAGTCAAACACAAAAGGCCACAGAGGAGGACAATTCTTCACTGTCGTCAAGGATTTTACAGCTCACGGAGGAGATTGGACAAGCTCAACAAAAGATCCAAGACCTTGTGACTGAAGCTGACCAGCTAAAGGGGATGCTGGATGAGAAAGAAAAGGAGCTCTCTACTCACAAGGAGATACACGAGGCTCACAAAAATGAATCATCAACTCGATTAAGAGGTATGGAGGTGGAGATTGATTCGTTGCAGTCTCAGAGATCAGAAATAGAGAAACAAAAGGAAGATGAGCTCTCCGTGCTGCTGAAGAAACATGAGGAAAAGGAGGAGGAATTCGCATCCCAGATCGAAGCTCTGACAACAAAGATAAACAATATGCAACTTGAGATTGAATCCTTACATGAACTGAAAGGCAAGCTAGAGGAGCAAATAGAGCAACAAAGAAACAAGTTGTCAGCTGAACTTGAGGACTTAACAAACAAGGTGAATGAGAAGGACCAAGAATTGAGGTCTCTTTGTAGCCAGAAACTTGAATTGGAAGCAGAACTGGAGAAGAAAGCACAAGAAAATGCAGAATTCTCAAGTGAGATAGAGAGTCTCAAGCAGGATATAGCAAACAAATCTGCGGATTCACTGAAAATTCTGGAAGAGAAAGAAAGTTCTCTTTCACAAGTGAAGGACCTAGAATTGGAGCTAAAATCTCTTCAGAATCTGAAATGTGAGTTGGAAGAGCAGCTGACAAGCAAAGACGAGGTGGTTGCTCAGATGAAAAGCGACAAGGAGATGATGCAAGATAAAATTTCTGAAATTGAGAGGGCATTAACAGAGAGAGAAAGTGAACTAGCCATTCTAAAGAAGAAATCTGAAGATGGAGAAACTGAATCATCCGCTCAAATTGCTGCCTTAACTTTGCAGGTGAGCAATCTGCAGGAGCAGTTGGAGAATTTGCAAGTTCAGAAGTCCGAAATAGAGTCTCAACTTGTGGCAAAAACTGGAGAAACATCAGAATACCTCATCCAGTTGGAAAATTTGAAGGAGGAATTAGCAAGGAAGGCATCAGATGGCCAGAGAATGCTGGAAGAGAAGGAAGGCCTAGTGGTACAGGTTAGGGAGGAAAACGGAAGTCTCCTAAGCAAAATATCTGAACTGGAGAATGCATTAGTTGAGAAAGTGGACGAGCATGGAACCTTGCAAAAGAAGCTAGAGGATGTGCAGAATGAAGCTTCTACTCGTATTGTTGCCTTGACCGAAGAAGTTAATGAGTTAAGGCAGCAGATAGAAATACTGCAGACAGAGAGAAGCCAGCTGGAGTTGGCAGCTGAAAGAGGTAAACAAGAATCCACTGAAAGTTTGGCGCAAGCAGAGAATCAAAACACAGAATTATCACAAAAGATTGTGGATCAGGAAATAAAGCTGAAAGAACAGGAGGAAGCATTTGTGAAGTTGGTGGAAGAGAAGGACGGTTTAGTGGTACAGGTCAATGATCTCCAGGCGGAAGTGAAGTCTCTTTGTGAACAGAAGAATACATTGGAAGAAAACATAAGCAGTGCAAACAATGAGAACAATCTGCTGACAGAAGAAAAGGGAAGTTTCCTGAGCAAACTATCTGAACTGGAGAATACATTAGTAGAGAAAGTTGATGAGCATGAAGCCTTACAAAAGAAGCTGGAGGATGTGCAAAATGAATCTTCTACTCAGATTCTTGCCTTGACAGAAGAAGTTAATGAGTTAAGGCAGCAGATAGAATTACTGCAGACTGAGAAAAGCCAGCTGGAGTTGGTAACTGAAAGAGGTAAACAAGAATCCACTGAAAGTTTGGCACAAGCAGAGAACCAGAACACAGAATTATCACAAAAGATTGTGGTCTTGGAAACAAAGCTGAAAGAGCAGGAAGAAGCGTGCGGGAAGTTGGTGGAAGAGAAGGACGGACTAGTGGTACAGGTCAATGATCTCCACGCTGAAGTGAAGTCTCTTTCTGAACAAAAGAGTACATTGGAAGAAAACATAAGCAATACAAGTAATGAGAACAATCTGCTGAAGGAGGAAAAGGAAAGTCTCCTCCTTAAAATATCTGAACTGGAGAATGCATTAGCCGAGAAAGTGGAGGAGCACCAAGCATTGCAAAAGAGACTAGAAGATGTGCAAAATGATACTTCTGCTCAAATTCTCGTCTTGACAGAAGAAGTGAACAAGTCAAGTCAGCAGATAGAATTACTGCAGACTGAGAAAGACCAGCTGGAATTGATAATTGAAAGAGGTAAACACGAGTCCACTCAAACTTTGGCACAAGCAGAGAATCAGCACACTGAATTATCACAAAAGATAGTGGATCGGGAAATGAAGCTGAAAGAGCATGAGGAAGCGTTTGGAAAGCTGGGCGAGGAGCAAAAACAGCTTGAAGGTTTGCTGCAGGAGTACAAGGAAAATCTTAAACTTGCAGAAAGGAAGATTGAAGAGATAACAGAAGAATACCAGAAGAATCTTGAAAGTAAAGATCAGAAAATAGACGAACTGGATGACAAGATCGAAGATCTGAAGAGGGATCTAGAAATGAAAGGAGATGAAATGAGCACACTAGTGGAGAATGTCCGGAACGCTGAAGTTAGGCTACGATTAACCAACCAGAAGCTTCGGGTGACTGAGCAGTTGCTGTCTGAGAAAGAAGAGGACCACATGAAGAAAGAAGAGAAGTTACTGCAACATCAAAGGTTACTTGAAGAGAGGATTGCAACATTATCTGGAGTTATTGTTTCTTACAAGGAAACTCAAGTGAAAATAATAGCAGACGTTTCAGATAAGGTGAATGACACTCTGACTGCAATGGATACATTCAATATGAAGTATGAGGAAGACACTGGTCACTTGGAGTCCCGCATTTATGAAATATTAAATGAGCTTAAGGTTGCTTTGAACTGGATCAAAGAAGCAGGTGAAGATAAGAAGCAGCTGAAGAAGGAAATTGATACTCTAGTGCAGCAACTGAAAGACGAGAAAGACTGTACAGCAGTGTTAAGAGGGAAGGTTGAAGAATTAGCAAAAGCAGAGCAAAGCGAGGTGAATCAAAGGGGGAGTTTGATAGAAGCTGTTCACCAACTCGAAGAAAAGATAGCTACACTGCAGAAACTGACAGCAGATAAGGATGAAAAGATAGCAGAGTATGAAAAGAAGATGAATGACAAAGATAAGGGAATCTTAGACTTGAGTGAGGGAAAAAGGGAAGCGATACGACAGTTGTGTATATGGATTGATTACCACCAGAGTCGATATGATGGTCTTATAGAGATGATCTCAAAGACTAGGGGAAGAAGGCAAGTAACTGCTTGAAATTCCTTCGCAAATGGTACATCATTTTTGTTATGCTTTCCTAGTTACATTAGTTTTGTTCTTTTGGTTTTTGGAGTGATTGGTCGTTTCTTTCATAAGGTAAATGATACTATTTCTGGTCGTTAGTTTTTGGATGCTGTCGTCTGTAAGCATCTTAGTTTCTTTAATATGCCCTTTTTAGGCTGTATAGGCAAGCAATGCTACCATTTTTTCAGTTGAACTTCATTCATTGGATATATCAATTAGCATAATCGTAATATTGTGAGTATTCATTGGAATAAATCTTTCCCTTTCTAGACTTCATTCATTGGATATATCAATTAGCTGAAGCAATATTGTGAGTATTCATTGGAATAAATCTTTCCCTTTCTAGACTTCATTCATTGGATATATCAATTAGCTGAAGCAATATTGTGAGTATTACATGCACATTCCTCAGATTGTCTTTGGGGATGTAGCTTTACCTTTTTATAATCTTTTCCTTCGGGAATACTTTTCCAGTTTCTACCTAAAATTGATTCTGGATTCCTTGCCATGAAGATTTGATGGATACTTTATCTTAGCTAATTTCAGAAGCAAGGCGGAATCAATTATTTTCTAGAAAATTGAGATCGATGTTTCCAGTTCCTTTTTAGTCATCAACCACAATGCCCAGTCAAGGCGGATGTTGCATTCCCACAGTGGGTGAGGTGCATCTATTGCGTAAGCTTGATCTATACATATAGTTGAATTCTTTACGAAATACTATATATTTATACTCGAGCATTGCCACAAAAGAATTAGTGAGTGAAATATACAAGTCTGCACCCAATGGCTTAAATCCATGGTCCACCAGCAACGCTCATTATCCAATATGCTAAATTGCTAATGATAGAAATAGCGGGAGAAATTCAAAAATAGCCAGATTTACAAGTGGTCATTCAAAAATAGCCACAGTTTCAAAAGTAATCGAAATTTAGCCACTTTTCATGTAAAGATAAATCTGAACGAAAACACTGTTCAAAATCCGGAAAAATACTCCAATATACTATACTGGTATTCCAGTATAATATATCGGTCCAGCATTGGAGCATCGGTGCTCCAATCTTCAATATATTATACTGGAACTTTCTGCATGTTGAAGTTCCGGCATAATATGCTGAAAGTTCATATACAGGTGTACTGATCTCCAGTATATTATACTGGAACTTTCCGTGTTGCAGCAAAATAGTGGTTATTTTTCAATAATTTTGCAAACGCTGGCTATTTTTGAATGACCAGTCTAAAAACTGGCTAGCTCGTGCTATTTTTACCAGAAATAGCGGGGGTTAGTTTGATTCGCCATAGGTTTCATGTAATTAAACAATCTTCTCACAAACAAATCAACAATGAATTTCAACTTCCTGTAGAAAACTGCAAAATGTAATAATCCTAATGCATTTTTTGCAGGCACAAAATATTTAGTTCAGTATGCAGCTACTCTTGCCTGTGCCAATGTGCCATAAAGTATGGCAGCTAACATAAGTACTGATAACGTGATCAAACAAAAAATCGGATAGCATCAGAGCAAATATGAAACCAAAGACCCAGATATCTATTCAATAAGCGTTGTATAAAAATACTCGCAAAATGAGTATTTTGATTCCTATAACATGAAGTGCACCTACTGCTACTTCTGGACCATTCTTTATTGCTAATTTCTCCAATATACTAAAAACCTAGAGGACGCAAAGACAATTGGTGGGTATGGGTAAAAATATTCGGGTGCTCAGGATCTCTCCTTTTCCAAGTCGACGAAATAACGCTTTCCCATAAACACCTTCCTTGCTTCTCTAGGCAAATTAACATGTAGGTTCAGAATATAACCTGAACTTCTTCGAGTAATTCAATCAGATATCCTCATTTCCACACCAAGAATGTCCTTTACCACCTCATATGTCACAAATGCAATTGCTATAGACGGTACCACCTGAAAGAGAGGCACAATGTCATATGAGTACAACAGAGAACAATATAGGTAACCAAATCACTCTCTTTACAAGTACAACAGAGAACAGAAATTTCCGAGGATAGGCACTAATTAGCCTTATTGGAATACCAGGAGAATATCTTGATATCAATTGAAGGGAATTGTAGAAAGCAACTGGTTGTTTTAGCACTCTGTTCACCTGGACATGGAGAGTAGGGGAGAGAACCACTTTTAAAGAACACGTAATGGATTGGACTAACCTTGACTGAATTTGGGACTAAACCCTTATACAAAGCTCCAACTCCCTCATGACGAACTGTTTTCCTGAATGCATCGACCATGCCACTATACTCTAGAGGTGCCTTGCTCTCGCCAGTAACAACTGAAGCAGCATTTTTCCAGCCACCCATCTGCATTCTTCGACGGATGACATCAAGAGGGTAAGCAACTGTCTGCCCAATAGTTCCAGCAACAGCACCACAGCCGAGCTTTGTCGTAACACTCAATTCAGAGTCTTGAGCTAGTCCCAATGGTCGGGTTTTGACCAACCAATCTTTTAACGATTCATAAACAGCAAAGTTTAAACCTACATAAGGAATCTGCATTTGAACTTAGTATCAGCAATGCAAACATTATGTTAATCATGGGGCACCAAAAACAGGAAAAAGACAGAAAACCGGACATGTGCTTAATACATTGGCCATATCATTTTTCTTTAAGAAGTATATCGCACTATCTTTCCACTCAATTGGTTTCCTCTTTCTACCTTGATAAACCAGTCCCCTCTTGATTTACAGCACCTTAATGCAATTTTCGGAGAAAATTAAGCAAATGGAGGGAAGAAGAGGGGGTTAAAAATAAGATGCTTAACTTTGCAATGACATGGAAAGGTGAGTCAACGCCGGCTGAAGGACAAAGCAGCCCAAGCAGTGGCTTTAGGCCCCAAATTTGGGAGGCCTCATTTTTTATTGACAATAATTTTATGAATTATTTTTTATATAAAAAAATTGATTATCTTAAAGTTAAAAGGTATAACTTTTTTTACAAAAAGGAAAAAAAATTAATTTGTTACTGATATTGACCCTTGAGTTTGAATAATCCGAAAGCGTATAAAAATATTGACTTAACCTTGATTAAAACACAATGCCACCCTGACATGATAGTTTAGGCTTATTTTTTAAATTATATAGCATTAAAGAAAATATTATAAGTATAAGATAAAACTCTAATCGATATACTTAATAAGATAACATGACTTGATTTTTTTTAATGCTTATATTCCTTGTAAAATAAAATATACTATAACAATTGCATCTGACAAAGAAGTTTTACCAAATTAAAATTGATAAAATCTTGTATATAATCAACAATGTCTCACGAGAAGCTAACTGAATCAGATTAGCAGTATTATTAATTGAAAAAGAATTATTAAAATAACTCGATTAAAGAAAATTATTAATAATTTTTCATCTAATTAAGTTAGAAAAATTTACTTCAAATAAAAAAATATATTTTTTCAAAAAATAATTAAGGCCTATCATCAATTTTTTGCTTTAGGCCACTAAAAATGTTGAGCCGCCCGTGAGGTGAGTAAGATCGATTTTAAAATTTCAGAGTACCAAGGTTTAATAATTTGGAGAATAAGAACAATGGGAAGCAACTAGTGTAGAATCTTAAGCTGCTGGAAGTTTGGATGAAAATCAAGTAAATCATGCTGACCGTTAACCATTATGAAAAAGGCGGAATATGTGTGGAGTCTGATAGGTTGCCAATAAAGAAATTTGATGAAAGTTTGAAAACACTAGGAGGGCCAATTTTCAACACTATTCGACAAGATGGCTCAACCACGGGACTTCCAAGCTAGCATCCAAAACACAATCTCTTATCGAGGTGTTAGATAACAGCTGTCTTTCAGTTCGATGGAAAAAGTATTCTTTACTAGTATAACTTAATATCTCCAGCAGTATGTGCTTAATGTACAAATTCTCTCCTCACAATCAGCATTTTCAATATCACTCCCGCTTTTGGAAGAACTGAAATATCCTCTACAGCAAAATTCTCTTGTTAAAACTTAATGATATAAAAGTACTACCAGCCGTTAAATCCCTGAATTTCTCTAATTTCTTGCTTCGTGCTGATCACGTAGTCACAATAAAGGATATTTCACTATTCTTTGTTGATACATCATACAGAGGAATTGTGTCATTCTTTCCTTGATAGCAACACCTTTCCAAGCTTACTAGACTGTTGATATTCAACTATGCAGATTGGTGGCTCCGGAGATTTTTAGAGTAATGCGAAAGAAACCCTCAGACATAAAAGACATGATGGTAAACGTAAAATTTGTTTTATGAGTATCGTTAAACGCAAATTATGGTGTTCATGAATATACCAACATCAGCCTATACAAATTCATGGATCCAAAAAAATTAATGAACAATGTATTAGTTTTAAATGAGATATAGTAATCATGCCCATAAATATGTCCGGTTATGTATAACAATTACAACTCATAGTCACCCTTTAGTATTCCGCCCAATCTCAATGAAAGTTTATTTTCATGCAAGCATTACCAATATTCCAAAACTTCACATGCTTAAGTCAACGAGTGATTACAGAACCAATATTATTATTACTCAAACATGATGAAAATGTAACGATCCCATCCCCAAAATCACTGAAAGAACCATAGGTACCTAATCCATAGAGAGAGCGTATTTTGTTTGGTTTAGTGAATGACGAGGAAAGAGCATTTTCATGACCTAAATTCCATAGAGAATAATCTATGTGTAACCAGATAAAACTTAGCACACAAAGTAAGATGGATAAGCAACAAAATGATCAAGAGGGGTATAATTTTAGGTCCAAAGAGAAACCATGTGCTTCTGAGTGTGATACTAAGCAAGTCAAAATCAAAACCATCACTTACCACACCTATCACAGAAGGAAGCCATCCTTTGTACAGAGCACGCGGGCCTTCTTCAACAAAAACTGTTCTAAGAGCATGAAATATCCCTCTGTACTGGGAAGGGGATTTATCTGTCTGCAAAGAGAAGCAGAAGCATTACAAATTAACAAAATCGTGAGAAAAAATGATTAGCCCATTTCTGTACCCAATGTGTGTGGGCAAAATTGCAAAGTTCACAGATGCAATACCTGGACAGTAATCCGGCCTCGTACCAAGTCCATTGGATAAGTTGCTGACATGGCAATGATGCCTGCACATGCTCCAGCACCAAGGCGTAGAAGAGGAGTAAGTTCAGCATCCTCTGCAATGAGGTAAGATAACTATAGTTAATATCGCGAAGTAAGTCTATAAACAAGCATAGACTCATAAATCTCTAAAACTAGGCCCATCCATAACAGAATGTCGCAAATTTGCTACTTTTTCAATGGAGAAGATGGATGAAACAAATTGCTTGGTAGATATGGAGGACGTATATTTCTTGACAGAGTTTTGCAGCATATAATCTGTTTCCAACACTGAAATATTTTAAGTCTTAATAGTTAATGGTGGGCCGAGTAACAGAGATAGAATGAAGAAAAATAATTGGGTAGTCAGTTAATTGTACCATTTCCAGTTTGCTGCCGGTAAAACCATAAGATTCCCCTGCAACATTATTAAATAATAAAGAGAGAAGATGTTAGAGTTTATAAGCCATAAAAGCTACAGTAGACATAATATAAGAAAAATTATCTATTAATTTAGTTTATAAGTTGAAGTAGAAATCAACTCAAATTCGAATTTCTCAGTCAGGGTATCACAATAAACTCTTGTACTAACTAAAAATCTTTGGGATTTCATATCCCTTCCACAATCATTTTCATTCTTTTTTTTAAAATGAAATCATTTTCATTCTCAAACATGTTAACAGTCAGATAATAATAAAATAGGAGTCCAAAAATACAAAGACAAACAGAAAGAAATCTAAATAAAGGTCCACCTATAAACTCTTTCAGGAGCAACTACTAAATGCTCTCCAACAAGAAATATAGTATCCATACTATATGTCTATATCACAAACATATATCTTTAGGGCAAGTTTGAACATATCTAAGAGAATTTGGATTTGAATTACAAAGTCAAGTTAGAGTTTATTTCAACCTTATTTGCTTCATTTCAAATGACAATTCTGAAAACATGTCATTTGAAATTTTTTAATTTTGAAATCCTTTCCAAATATCTCCATCCAAGCAGGCCCTTTACTCTTTATTTTTTGGTTGGTAACAGTATCCTTTTACAATTTTAACATTTGTACTTCCATCTATTATCAATAAGTCAAAATTCTCTACTTACAATGTTCTTGTTATAGCTGAATATCAAAGAAGTAGAAGGAAAGAAAACCAATGATCCATAACGGGTCAGAGCACATATTCTACAAAATTCTGACTCCTTCCTTCTAATTTTCCCCACATCAAAGATTGAAGACTTCCCCACCACAATCCTCAAAATCAATTTTTTTAAATAATGTCTTCACGGATATGGTTGAGTGGTTGAAGCATAGGATGTTGGATGTGAGCCCATCTACTCCAACTTGAGGATGCAGGTTTATCCACAACTGCACTTGTGGGTTATAGGAGTTTGCCTGGAGGATTAATTGAGTTTTGCAGAAGCCGGACCAGACACCACCGTCATTAAAAAGAAAAATAAGTTATCAGCATCCCGATCAATTATCCTCTTGCCTTTTTACATACCATAGAGGAACAAACAAGTTGTTTTCTGCATAATGATCAAAAAAGCAATTTTGTTTTCTGCTTCCGGAATCATGGATTAATTGACAACACAATTAAGGTAGAATGATTAAGTCCCCTGATGGCCTGATCATAAATTTTACAAATGAATTAACACAAAGACCTTACAGGCTTGCAATGATGAAGAATTTGACCTTCGTGCCAAGTGCGTTAATCATTGAATACGGGAAATTTTTAGCCAAAAGAAATCCTGAAGAAAATATATTTTTTCTTTGCAAGCGGTGAACTTGCATCTTTCAGCATTCATATTGAGTTATTGACCTTCTTTTTCAACCAGAAAGTTCGGACACCTAAAGGATCATTGCATCTCACCAAGTCAGTGAAAGTACTCTTCAATTAGTCAGACATCTGTGTGCAGAAACCATTGCTGTTCCTAGTTATTCAACCTTTATTTTGTCGAGGTTCAAATTCCTGAATTCCCGAATCACTCCCCACATTGATAAACATATACTATGTTAAGCACCAATTCAGAAATAAAGGAGAGCAAAAATTTTCTTGCTACTCCAAATTTTAGAACCGTAGAGCATCTCATTATTCAATAAGTTACAATAAAGCTCTTTAAAAATAACTATCATAGAATCAACAAACTAAAACCTAAAACAGACAAGGGTAGTGGCAACTCGAAAGAGAACTTTCTTCGTGAGATTAGCGGTACAGGGAGTGAACATTTAGCATTCTGAAAGAAATAAGTGTCATGGCATACCTGGACGCCTCCTCATAGCTGAAGAACTTGACGGCAGAGTTTGGAACAATGCGGGCACAATTAGTACCATTTCCTTTGAACAAACCCCGGAAACCCTCAGTTCTCCATATATATTTCAACCCCTGAACTGTACCATTGTATTTTATACTGTGAGGATTCTGAACCTGCACTTCAGCGAACAAAGGTAAATGTAAGATCCTTGTAAATTATGTTGTATGTTTAAAACTATTTGCAGGTTAATGCAGCTAAAAAAATGGTACTATATATATATATATATATATATATATATATATATGTATGTATGTACGAATGATCATACTCACTCTTATGTAAATACAAATATGCTATCACAATAAAAGTAAATACTTTTTTAATAAGCACACAAATAAGTTAAATGCTCTGACTCCTTTTTTTTTTTATAAGGATGCTCTGATTCCTCAATACAAAATTATAGTTAACTGAAAATTCGTGTTTGATATCTAATGGCATCACTTGTCAAATAAATATATATCAATTGATATCCACCACTTTTAGTTTAACTGATAGATTGGTTCACAGCGAAATTTGTTCAACACTTCAGGTGCAACTGAAGTCTAACTGATGCATTTGGTTTTAAGTACTCAATTGGGTTCTCAAACACCAATCTAAAGATGCTAAAAGATGCATATTTGTGGGTATACATCTCAATATAGATCATTCATAAACTTTGCAAGCACAATTTTTCATGTAAACCTCCAATCACTTCATTTCATGAGAAAATTTGCAAGGATATACAGAAGAAACATCTCAAATCATAAAGCTTAAAAGAATCACTTGGAATATTTACCTGGAGCAGAATTTTAAGCCTTTCCAATGGAGCAACTGCAGTGCGTGACCTGTAACACAAGAATAGTGTTTAGTTTTAAATTTTTGAAAGTAGGGAAAGAAGGGCAAAAAATGCATTTAACCTATTGCGAAAAGTATCTCATGATCTATAAAATCAAGAAATAACTGCACAGGTAATGAAAACTACACCATGCGACATATCTTTTTAAAGCAAATGATATACAATGTGAAAGAAACACCTCAGACGGTTACTTTTAAGAAGATTCAGGATGTTAATGCGATAGTCAGAAATGCAACAAGTCACAGTTCCCACTTCCTTCTGCTCTTCTCCTTTCAGGCAACAGCAAAAGGAGAAGATAGAAAAATCCTTTATCGCTTCAATTTCTATGAAAGCACAAAAGCATATGTAGTCATGCAAAACCACACAGCACACAGCACACTATTCATTTCATTTTCTTCCCTAAATCCACTACCTAAACGAGGCTCTAATAGTTCTGTTTATGCAGTTCAATCCCTGTCTGCTATGTTGACAGTTTCTTCCTCTTTCCTTTTCTCCTATCTCCTTTCCTACATCAGGTTCCTTCAACAGAATTTACTAGATAATGGAATTTTAGTTTATTCTTTTTTAACCTGCCAGACAGACGACAATGGTTATCTGCATAGGTATAAACATGTTTCCTAATTATTAGTACATGCTTGCTTCTTAACTTCCATGGTGATACCATGCTATGTTGGCATCGAACGGGATCTCTACCTAACCATCACTAATGCTCTCTACATATGCCATGCACTTGACAGACCCATTTTAATTGGTAAAGTCAAGCATATGTAACAGCAAATGGAATTTGTGTTTGTGTTACTGTCTGTCCCCTTCCGAACCATATCAGACCAAAAATAAAAAAACGGAAAAGGTAAGAAAAGCTGACAGTAAACTAGTATAAACTAAAACTGCGAACGGAAATTACCTCTTCTTTTCTTTTTCTTTTTGGAATTATTTGTAAGCATTAAAATCAAACTAGGTAAGATCAAAATGAAATTTCACTACTGTCTCTGGGCTCCCGAACCATAACAGAGGGAAAAAAAACAACAGGTAAATAATGAATATACACTAGAAACAGCAAACTGAATTACTTCCTTCTTTTAAGTTATTCATAAGAATTAAGATCAAGCCTAGGTAACAGCAAATTAAGTCATCGCTACTGTTTATCAGCTTCGGAACCATAGGATAACTTTAAATAAACAAGCATAAACTAGAAACAGTGAGTTGAAACTATTTTTTAAAACTATACAATTAAAATCAAACCTAGGTAACAGAAAATGAAATTTTAATTTCTATTTATCTAATTCATAACCTTAACAGCCAAAAAAAGGGACTAATAATAAAACGAGTATAAACTAGAAACAGCAAATTGAAATTAGTCCACTATTTTTCTTTTGAGCTATCTGTAACAATTAAAATCAAGCCTATGTAACATCAAATGAAGTTTCATTTCAGTTTATTAAACTCCTAACTGTAGCAGTAAAAAAAAAGGTGTCATAACAAAGGAGTATAAACTAGAAACAGCATATTGAAGTTAGTACTACTTTTACTCTTTTGAATTATTCGTTTAACAGCAAATGACATTTTCTTTTCAGTTTAAACAGTTCAAAAAAGCTCTAATAATTAAGGAGTAAAAACTAGAAACAACGAATTTTTTTCTGAACTATTCGTTAATCAACTAAAAGTAACAGCAAATGAATTTTCAGTACTGTTTATTAAATTCCTAGCCATAGCAGTAAATAAACAAAAAAAGGACTAAAATAAACGAGTATGCAGTAGACAAGTGTGTAAATTAGAAACTAGTATAAACTAGAAACAACAAATGGAGATTACTTAGTTTATCTATAACTATTTTAACAATTAAAATCAAGCCTGGGCCTGGGTAACAGAAAGTGAAATTTTCATTTCTGTCTATTAGATTCGTAACCTTAATAGTTTAAAAAAAAAGGACTAAAAAAAGTACTGACACTCCACCGGCGATGCCACCAGCAGCGAGAGACTTGATAATACTGAAGATAGCAGCATGACTCGGAGCTTTAACTCCTTCGCTCGCAATCTTAGCTTCTTCAGCCAGATTAACGATTGTAGTAACAGCACTCTCGCTTCTCTTCCCTACCACGTCCTCCGACGCCATTTTAAGCTCGCCGGAACCCTAGCTGGAGAAGTATTCACGGTGTGTTCGTCAGTGTTCGCCGGCGATCGAGAGAGAAGATAGAGAAGGGAAGGGAAGGGAAGTCAGGGGGCACTGGGTTTTGGTTTGGCTTCCTTGAGAAATGGGCAATGACAAAATTGGAATTTGATTAATTTTCTTTCTTTTTTAACCAAAGGTATGGATTTAAATGCTACGTAATAATCAGTATTAGGATCGTTTGGGTAATCTTAGCTGTATTATTTTGTCGTGAATTGTAATATGAAAAGATTATGTTAATATACCTAATATAGAGAAGTTTTAGATAGAGTTTATCCCGAGTCGAAGCGAGTATTTAAATTCGAGTTAACAAATTTACATATATTCAATAAATTTTTCAAAATAAATATAGAATTTCTACTAAAGTTATTCGGTTCGGCCAAACCCGCAGGCCTTAATTTTATCTACTCTTTAGATCATTTTTTTTTATATTTAGATAAAATTGTGCATGTCTGAGACTAATTACAAGCCGTATATGCGCATACAACTTTTATTAGGGGAAACAATTTTTGTGCTATTTGAAATAGGCAATGTTTTCTTTCGTTAAACTTTAGTGTAATATTACCCCTGTTGTTAGAAAAAAATCTTATTTTTTCTCTTGCCCCTAGACCTCCAAACTAATGATAATTTAAATCATAGTCAACACTTAATTTATAAATTTGGATTTTAATTTAAAATTTTGGATTTTTTTTAAAAATATATATATACATGAGTCCACCCATTTCCATGGAGTTTTTTGTAGTGGCAAAGGTAATTCTAGACAATTTACTAATAGCGAAGGTAAAGGTATAACAAATAGCAAAATTTAATAATTTCAAATAGTATATGAGTAAATTTATCTTTTATCTTACTGATTAAATAGTCAATGTCATCTCTTCCAAATTTATTTTGGATAGAAAGTATATAGATTGATATCGAAACCCCCCTCCCCCCTCAAGAACAGGCATTTTTATGCACAAAGTATAATACACGCATTATCTTTCAAGTTATACAAATTATAATATAATATTCATGAATTTTCACATAAGTTAATAATAAACTTAATTAATACCATCATCAGAATTTACATTACTGTAAAGATTAATTTTTAAATGTAGTAAACCAAATTTGTTTTATTCTATGAAGATTTTTATGTGGAATTATCTTACTAATGCGGCCAATCATTATGTTGTTGGTTTGGGATATGGATAATGATAACGTCTGGAAGTTAGGGCTAAGATATGGTGGGCCGGATCAATACTTAAAATGAATTTGGGCAAAATACAGAATTGATCAGCTCGATCAAAATTAATTATATTTTTTAGCCAAAAAATATATAAAATAAATATAACCTTTTGTATAAAATAGGTATACATAAAAATATATATATATTTTAACTACTATTTTTTAAAACCGCTAAAAATATACCTTTCTTAATGAATTCAGGTACAGTTTACCGTAGGAAGTCGTTATCGGTTTAGATTTGGTCAGCAGTTAGGCTTATAGCCTATTGGTCATTGACTTTTATTTTATCACGAAATTGTTTAGATCACATAAATTCTTTCGTGATGTTCACATTTAAAAAAAATCTTTTTAATGGCTAACATATCCATTAAAAAACAATTTGGTTTACCAATAAGGGTTGTGGTGGAGCGGTAAGTACTCCTTTATTCTTAACCAGAGATCTCGGGTTTGAGTCCTTGGATATGAAGTCGTCTTTATTAGGGAGCGTTTTACCCCCCAATGTGAGATTTCTTGGCGTGAATCCGAATTTAGTAACAAGTAGGAAACCAAAAGACAAAAAAACAATTTGGTTTGTGTTTCAACCACACACACAAAAAAAAGAGTTTGGGGTTTATGTTTAGTTTGAAATCTACTATTTATAACTGTTTTAATTTAGTTTTAGGTGAATTATTCTTAAGTTATAGAGATTTTTATTTGGTTTTTATTTATTTAAAAATGATATAGGTATTTGAAGAAAACATTTATTTTCCAAAAGATACAAGCTCTCGTCGTGTTTATCCTTTAGGACTGCGTTGTAGCTTATGTATAGGATAGAAAATATTAGGAATTTTTACCTCCAATAGCAAAGGTTAACACCTTATTTATTTTAAATAAATACTATTTAAAAAAATTATATTCTATAGATACCTTTTAAGGTTTATAGCAAAATATTTAATTTTGGTTACCTCCTAGCCCTAAGCCACTAAATACGTTATTCAGTTACACTATTTTCTTTTTATCTCTACTTTGATATATCCCATTCTCTTCCCCCATCCCATTAAAAATTTCCGCTCTTCCCCGCCTTCTAACGGCATCTTCTCATTGATTCACTTTAATCAATCCTTCAAAATTCAACGACCAGCAGCACATCAACAACAAACCCTAACCCGAAGTCCCAATCATGCCGAAGCAAATCCACGAAATCGTTGGTGATTATTTATTGTTGAGGTTCACCAAGTTTACAATGCTTGACTTTATCACATATTTATCTTTCATTGATGCCTGGATTTCAGTCCATGCGGATAACTAGACAAGAATCCAATTAAGTTTCGATTAAGTATTCTGTAAGTTCCGGTTCAATTAGCGTTCTGCAAGATCTTTGAAGATGGAAGGACTATTTGGCTACAAGGCGAAAATTAGGGTTTGTTCGAGCAAAGACAACAGAGTTTGGGGCTGAGCAACTTGATTTTCTGTTAATATATTTCAATGTATTTTCAACGTATCATGCTGTATTTTCATGTATTCATTGTCTTTTTTTCATTGTAATTCAATGTATCTCGTTGTATTCCGTGTATTTCATTGTATTCACTGTCTTTTTTTTTCATTGTTTTTCAATATATCCCGCTGTATTCTATGTATTTCATTGTATTCACTGTCTCGCTATATGCCATGAATGTATTCATATATTTTTTTAATTAATATAATTTATGTATTCAGATGTATTATATGATTTCTCTGAAGATTGCTATATTTTGGGGGTATTTTTCAGTTGAGAATCTTTTCTATAACCGAAAATACAAATTTTGTGTGTTATAATTGAGTTTGTTGAGTTATATTATGAGTCTATTATGTTAATTGATACACTTTCTTCCGTTTAAAATCAGTGTAATCCCCTGTTTCACACCGTGAATATAGTCGAATACAGTAATTTGTCCAGCTGTAATCCCATATTTCAATCGATGAATACAGTCGAATACACTCGAATACAACAACTGATTAGCTGGACTTCTCTGATTCACGCCTATTTTTGCTACTGTATTCATGAATACAATAGCTTAAATACATCAAATACGTCTTATAACCACAAAAAAGGTATCTATAATCCGTAATATAGCAAATGGTATCTATAGATGGCTAATTACTACTAAAAGATAGTGCTTTATAAAAAAATTTCAAAATATTAACTTCTCTTTGGAGAAATCGATAGCACCCTCTGGATCATAATATCGCTAGTTTATAGCGAAGATTGTTACACAAATAGTCGATTAAATTCAATATTTATCTATTTTAATTAGTATATATAGATTATACATTAATTAAATACACTCATACATATATACATAATTATATAAGTATTATGAATTCGCCGGCTATTTTTGTTTAAGAAATTAAGTGAACGGCTATTTGAGTTAATTCTTCTTTTGTTATTGCCAACCGAATTGTGTCTTTCCTCTTTCTCCATTAGAAAAAGATAAAATATTCCAATAAATTAAGTTTCGAATTATAACAACATCAAAAACGGATATTAGAAAAGGATTTTACATTATTAATATATCTAAAGATAACTACAGGTAACTTATATAAACGGATATTAGAGAAGAATTTTACATTATTAATATACCTAAGGAAAACTACACGTAATTATTGATAATAAGATTAGAAAATAGAAAAAATATATATAATGTAGTAGTTTATGACAATTGGTTAAAATATCATTAGAATGTAAACACTATCTAATTATATAAGTTAAAATTAAATATTCATCGACATGTGTATTGCTTAAGCTAATGGCTGGAAATGATGGTCATCAACGAATGTTGCTGGTTTTTAATGCTTTTAGGGCCACAACTTATTAATCTCGCCACTTTCTATCTGTTTCTATTTATTGTGTTAGTTACAAAAGTTACAAATAAATATAAAGTTCTGACTTGACTCAGTAAGTGTTTCTTTGAAATTAAGACATGCATTATCTAGATCAATTGTGTCCATTAAATCAATGAAAGAAATTGACCTTGCATATTTGTCCTTGCTTTTGTCTTACCTTAAAAATAGTAATTACAATTAGATTTAATTTTGTGGTTCTAAAAATACATGATTTATTTTTATGCTAGTTGTTAGACAGTAGATGCTAAGTGTGAGACTAGAAAATATGATAAGAGCCTGAAGGCAGTGTATCTAGCAAAGCGAGTGACCGAGAATCGAGGCATCGAGCTGGCCTATACGGGGTCTCGAGATCGAGCTAAGCGTTAGGCTGTGAACGGCCGATGAAAGACTAACAATTCTAAGAGCTTTGGTAAGAGCTCTTTATGATCAATAATGAGTAGTAAATGAAGAACAATTAATGAAACGCAATAAATGTAAGCGATAAATGTAAGCAATAGAATCAAGGGAGAATGTGTTTAACTTAGAGAGCAGAGAATGTTGTTGTATTGAATGTTGTGTATCTTACAAAATGATATAGGTCCCCTTTATATATAAGGGGAATCCCAACATAGTACAGACGCATTTATTACAAGGATGTGAGGTTGGTACAGCCATTTAATGTCACGGTACGGGCTTGAACTAGCCCAATAGACTTGGTCAGCTTTAATCACGTTCCTTGGGAACTTCCCGTTTGTCCATCATGACCATCGATTTGCATTGCCTCGAGGTCGATCATTGAGAACCCTTGGGGTCGAACCTCGAGCTGAGCCTCGAGGCTTCAGGGGCCGGTCTTATGAAGCGCCATAATGACTTTTAGCCATATACATTTTGCTAATTTTGAAAATTCAGTTGGATTAATAAAGCATTTCTTTCATGGAATAATTATAAGTCTTTATTCATGATGTAATTGAGGCTTCACCAAAACTTTTGTTTTGTGCTGATAAATTTACTAAGTGTTGGAAAGAAAAAATTATGTCAAAGTCATATCTCTCCTTATATCCGCATCTTGTGCACCTTCAATGCGTCTAATATGAAGTAAAATACATATAGGAAATGTATTCACTTGGAAAAGTTTTAATTGGAAAACTTTAAGTTATATACATAGTTACTGTAAAAATGAAATCACACGAGAGGCGGACCTAGGAATTTAATGCGATAGGGGCATATTATTCTGTTTAATTAGTGCCCCCTAAAGGCTTTTAGCATTAAGGGTGCCAAGAGATTTAAATTAATCATTTTCAAGGTATATATATATATAAGATTTCTGTCGAAGTTTACGGAGTCCGGTGATACCTCAACCTAAGACATAGGTCCGCCTATCTAAAGGATATCTATAAATAGTCTCTTTAGCATGTAATATTAAATAGCTGCTACAACAACTAAAACTGACATATGTTACGTGATAATGTTGAGTATTAAGGTTAATAAATATTTGTGTGTTGGTTTAAACTTTTAACAAGCTAAATCAAATAGAATTAAAGGTATTTGTACAGAAAATTGCTTACACTATTACACACGTCAATAAGATTACTTTCCTCATTTTTTGTACAATTATTTCTCAAGAAGATATTTTAAAAAATTTAAGACAGTCAATACATTTGGGCCAAATTTCGACCCCAACACAACAGTAAGCCAGATCGAAGAAACTCTCTTACTAGTTTATCAGTTAGGATTTGCACTATGAGTTTTGTGCGCGTAGACTTATTTTTATTTTTTGAATTCCCTCAATGAATATTCTGCTTTCGCCATTGATCACAAATGTGTTTATATTTAATTTTTTTTTATTTTACTATCATGTCACTTTCATCAAATTTCAACCAAAAAAAAAGTAAAATGAAATGCGTAACATAATTACAAATCATATTTAAGATTAAGTAATCTATAAGAAAAGTTGAATAATGATTATTTAGTGTGATCAAAGATATGAACAATAAAATAGATGGAAAATGCCTCGATCATGTCATGTAAGAACAAAGTCTCTCGATCATCAAGTAGCTAGGGGCAGAAACTGCAGCAAATGGGAGTTTTCAAAAGAAACCATTCTATTTTTTATTGAATTATTCTCGAGTTTAGTGACTATTAGGTATCCCAGTAAGGGCATCAAATGATGAATTTCTTAATGTAAGTCAACAGAATACTGTATATATTGATAATTGGTTGTGCTTTGCTCATCTATTATACTATTATAAACAACTAGTTCTATTACTAAATTGAGAAAAAAATGTCAAGCTAACTAGTACGATCCATCTTGCAAAGAACATATATTATATTAATGTATAACTATATAAGGTCAACCACAAAAAAATTTACATGATTCCACCCTTCACCAGCTAGCTTTACATGCTACAACAATATTTACGTCACATTTCCAAGCAAGTTGGAACCATTTACAATCAAACATCTCTATAACGGCATCTCTATATAACAGACATTCACTATAAAAATCAAGTTTTTCTCGGAATAATTTTTATGTTATGTTATAATATATGTCCTTTTATAACAGCATTGCACAATATATAGCAGCCAAAAAATATCGGAACAAACAAGATTGTTACAGAGAGGTTTGACGGTATATGAGTCATCATGGACCATGTCGTGGTATTGAAGCTCATCTAATGTAATGTGTGCCTTGCTGAGCACGTCTCAACGATGTATTCTATATTGTGAGAGTTCTTCTTATATTGGCTAAATTTACGCAGACTATCTACCTACAACAATCTTTCTTATTTATCTGAATTTAGGACCGATAATATGAGCAAACTCACACCGACAAAATTACCAACCTAACTAGCTATACATAGAAAGGAACAATCATATAAGAAATATGAAACAATAAGAAAATTCCATACTAGAATTAATAAATAGAATTAAACTTCAATCTGCAACATGAGACAGCTAGCCATTAGATAATCCAATTATTGGGAAATTACATATCCATTTCTCCCAACAAAAACAACAACCTAAGTCAAACTTAACCTTTTGTATTTCCAATATCTATATTCTATAATAACCATAGGACATATATATCTAGCTAGCTAACAAGAAGATCAAAAGTCCAAGAAAAATGAAAAAAGGAAAAGATGATGATCAAGTTTCTGATTCTTCTTTTGTATGGGACTGCGGGAGCCCATTGTATGATTCTTTCGAGTTAGTTTCACTTGTTCATTTGATCGAACGGAATATGATGATCAGCTTGCCACTGCCGGAGAGATCTTCACCGTCGACGACGGAATCGGAGTCGGAGACTGACGTACTGAACATGAGAAGATTTTATAGCTACAAGGAAGGAGAAAAGATTAATAATGGAAATAAGGTGAGAAAACTTAAGAGGGAATTTTATAGCTTTTGTTCTAGTATTGGTAATTTAATTATCAAAGGTGAGAAAGTGTAATTTGAATAGATGTTCCATCTTTTGCTGTATAAGTATTGGTTAATAACGCATTCATATCTCAATTTTATTTTTTAAGAAATTATTGTCAATTGTCAATCTCTTTCAATATGAATCTATAATTAACTCGAAAGGAAGAGCTTGCATGTTTTTCTCTCTTTTTTTCTTACGTAAAATTATATCTGTCCGTTTGTGTTGATCACTGACATAGCTTTAGAACTCAAAGAGACTCAATAACAATGGATTGATTTAAAAATATGAGAAGGTGTGGAGAGTTAGCATTACACTTTATGATAGGCCTTGAAATAAAGTTGTGTTGGAATTACATAATGAACACTTATTAGTTAGTTTAATTAGTTAGTTTTACTTCAGTTTTTTTTTTGTTCGATTTTGGCCCAAAGTTTGGCCCACATGTATTTATAAACTTCCGGGTTACAGCCCATGTAAAGGAGTAGTGAGTTTACAGTTTTGCCCCAAGTATAAATATAGGTTCTAGAAGACTCTGTACAGATGAAGAAATGAGAATGGAAAATATCGATGATTTCTTCTGAGTTTTTCTCTTTCTCTCTTTTCTGAAACCATATTCAACTCCATACGATTGTTAATCTTCATATGGTATCAGAGCCATGGGCGTTACATAGATCTTAACGAGAGGAGTCGACCGATCTTACCCTCGTCATTTGATTCGAAGGTCGTTCACTATTTTTTGTTGCGACTGGTATGCGACAACAATTTTGTTTCGATTCTTTGCTGGAATTTGGATTATCAGTGATTTTTTTCTTCGATTCTTTGCTGATTTTGTATTATCAGTGAGTATTTCTCGATTTTGCCGAGTTTCATTTGGAATTAGTTTTGGAAACTTATGTTTTTTTTTACAGAAAAACCCTAGAAATTCTCTTTTGTTGAAAAGTATTTTTTTTTACCTTGCTAAAATGGTGAATACTGAAATTCATGTGGATGCTAGTTCTAGTAATAATTCTACGTACATTCCTGACTCCACAAGTCCTTTATTTCTCCACTCGTCTGATATACCTGGGATGTGTTTGGTGAGTACTCCATTCTCTGGGTCGGGGTATGGAGGATGGAGAAGAAGCATGATAGTGTCTCTTTCTGCTAAGAATAAAATAGGATTTGTCGATGGTTCATGCCCTAGACTAGTTACCACTGATGTTGCAAAGCTGCGTCAATGGGATAGATGCAACAATATGGTGATTCATGGTTAACTAGCTCACTTTCACCAACTATAGCTGAGAGTGTCCAGTACTCCGAGACAGCCGAGAGCATTTAGAAACAATTGGAGCATATGTATGGGGTTGTGAATGATACTAAGGTGTTTGAAATAAAGAAGGAGTTGGCCTCCACACAACAAGGCTCCCTCGACATTGCATCATATTTCAATAAACTAAAGAAACTCTGGGATGAGCTGAGTACAATGCGTAAGAATCATCGAAATTGTTGCACGTGTGCTACAAGAGATGGTATTCAAAAGGAGGAGGAGGATAAGCTTCATCAATTCCTTATGGGCCTAAATGAAGTATATGTGGGAGTGAGAAGCAATTTGCTAATGATGCAACTTCCTCCCATACTAGATAGTGCATACAGCATTTTACTTCAAGATGAAAATCAGAAACAAGTTCAACACATTCCCCAGCTGGTCCCAGAAGCTGCTTCTTTCAATGTTAATGCCAACAATAAAGTTTTTCCTCCGAATGTCAATAGTAAGACATTCCCTCCTAAGCAATATACTTAGAAAATGGACTTTGATCAGCCCAAGGGAATTTTTTTTTTGCGAATACTGTAAAAAGCCTGGACACATAATCGACAAATGCTACAAGTTACATGGATTTTCACAGAATTTCAAATTCAATAAAGGGAAAAGGATGGCTGCTAATGTGACTGCTGAAGTTGAGTGTCCTGCAACAGCCTATACTCTACCTCAGTACAACTCACCTCAACTTTACACTGTTTCTGACCATGAGGAACAAGCTTCTTCAGTACCTGGATTGACAAAGCAGCAGTATGCACAACTTATGTCCCTCTTGCAACAAACTCAAGTTCCTTCGGATGCTGATTCTCAAACTAACTTCATTGGATCTGCCAACTTTGTTGGTAGTACTTTCTCTTTGCCTGTTTATATTAACGATGATTCTCATGTTTGTTTACTAGCTGGTGCTAGTAGAAATGTTTGGATTATAGATAGTGGAACTACTGACCATATGACCTCCAACAAAAATATACTTTCTAATCTTACTCCACTTCCTACTCCTTACTTGGTAATTCTTCCCAATGGTTACAAAGTAAAAGTGACTTATACTGGTTCTGTTACCTTGTTCCCTTCTTTCACTCTTCATAGAGTCTTATACATTCCTAGTTTTCAATATAATTTAGTCTTTGTTTACAAGTTGATTTAGCAATTTCACTGCATGGTTTTGTTTACTTCCTCTTCATGCCTTTTGATACAGGCCCATTTCATGAGGAAGCTTCTGGAACTTGGTAGACAGGACCAAGGCCTCTACAAGCTCCTTCATGCCAATGAGTCTGATTCCAGTCTTAGTTGTCCTACTTCTGTTTTCAATAAAAATGTGCAATGTCTGAATAGTGGTGATAGATCCCTTGCTAATATCAAACAATCTAATTGTGTTCCTTTACTTTCTAGTAATGATGTACCTAGTATAAACAAGCATGATGTACTTTGGCATCATAGGCTGGGACATATTCCATTTGGTAGAATGAAAAATATTTCCTCCATTTCTGCTCAACTATCTTCTAAACAATCTTTTGTGTGTCCTATTTGTCCTCTAGCAAGGCAGGCAAGGCTGCCATTTCCCCAAAGTAACTCAGTTTTCAAGTGTTTGTTTGAGCTCATTCATGTTGACACCTGGGGTCCCTATAATACTAACACATACTCTGGTGCATAGTATTTTTTGACCATTGTGGATGATCATATCAGGGCAACCTGGACTCATTTAATGCACTCCAAGAGTAATGCTTTCAATTCTAAAAGCCTTTATCTCCATGGTCAAAACCTAATTTAATCTTCCAGTCAAGACCATTAGGAGTGATAATGCCTTAGAAATTGGGCTTTCTACTTCTGCCATACAATATTTCTCAGACAATGGGATCATTCATCAAACAACTTGTTCTCATACACCTCAACAAAATGGTATTGTTGAAAGAAAACATAAACACTTGTTAGAAACAGCAAGAGCTTTATTGTTTCAGTCCAAACTACCTACCAAATTCTGGGGGGATTGTATCTTAACTGCCACATATCTAATAAATAGATTTCCTTTCACTGTTTTGCATAATAAAACCCCTTTTGAAATATTATATGGGAAGGCTCCTTGTTATTCCCACTTAAAGCCTTTTGGTTGCCTTTGTTATGCCACTGTCTCTAAATGCAATAGGGATAAGTTTGACCCAAGAGCTATACCTTGTATTTTCCTTAGTTATCCTTTTGGTAAGAAAGGATTTAAGTTGTATAATATGTCAACTAAATCTGTGTTGGTCTCCAGAGATGTCATTTTTCATGAGTCTATATTTCCTTACTCCCTCTCATCATCTTCTCCTAGTCAGTTTCCTATTTTCTTTTTTGATGATAACTCTCCTCCTTTGTCCCCTTCTTTACCTGTTTCCACTATTACTGATGTTGTTCTGCCTATTCCTCCTGATTCCTCTACTATCTCAACACCTATTCCACCTCATCCCAATCCTACTGATGTTGTTCGGATGTTGTTCTGCCTATTTCTCATGATTCCTCTACTGTTTCAGCACCCACTACTGTCCCTTCAACTGTTCCAAGTAAGTTTTCTCAGCTTAGGAGGAGCAGTAGGCCTCATACTCTTCCTTCACACCTCAATGATTTTGTTGTTCAGCTTCCTCCTTCCCTCTCTAACCCCACTACTACATCCCTTTCTGCTACCCATACAGTTTCTTCCGAGCCTCATTCTTATATTTAGGCTGCTTCCAGCCCTGCTTGGTAATAAGCCATGAGGAAGTAGTTTCAGGCTCTAGAAACTAATGGCACTTGGACAATAGTTGAATTACCTCAAGGAAAGAAAGTTATAGGATGCAAAAGGGTGTATAAGATTAAGTATAAAGCTGATGGTAGTGTGGAGAGGTACAAGGCAAGGTTGGTTGGTAGGGGTGATACACAAGTGGAGGGTGTTGATTTTCATGAGACATTTTTCCTGGTGGTAAAAATGTGCACCATTAGATGCTTAATTGATGTTGCTGTTAAAAAGAAATGGTCTCTTTTTCAATTGGATGTCAACAATGCGTTTCTTCATAGTGATTTAGATGAGGAAGTGTACATGAAACTTCCCTCGGGCCTAACAGTTGCTTCTACCTCAAATTCTACTTCTCCTCTTGTTTGTAAGCTTCAAAAATCTCTCTATGGTTTGAGGCAAGCCTCCCGACAATGGTATGCTAAGCTATCTCAAGCTCTTTACACTAGAGGCTACACTCATTCTTTGAATGATTACTCTCTTTTCTTTAAGAAATCAGCTTCATCTACTGTCTTACTTGCTGTTTACGTTGATGATATAATTCTAACTGGTGATGATCTTGTTGAGATAGCTGCTCTCAAACAATTCTTGGATGACCAATTTAAAATCAAGGATTTAGGCTTGCTCAATTATTTTCTGGGTATTGAAATTTTGTATGATGAGTTTGGGGTTCTTCTTCACCAGAAGAAGTTTACTTCTAATTTAATTTATGAGTTTGGGTGCACTGATGCTTCAGCTGTAGTCTCTCTCCTTGAGTTGTGTGTCAAGATAACATCTGATCAGGGTGAGGTGCTGCCTAATCCTCAATCTTATAGAAGTCTCATTGGAAAATTGAATTTTCTCACCCACACTCGTCCAGATTTGTGTTTTGTTGTCCAACATTTAACTCAATTCCTCAAGTCTCATCGCATTCCTCATATAGCTACTGAAATGCATATCCTGAGGTATTTGAATGGCACACTTGATGTAGGGGTGTTTCTTAATGCTTCATCAGTTTTTTCACTTCAGGCCTTTTGTGATAGTGATTGGGCAGTTTGTCGTGAGTCCCGCAGGTCTGTTTTTGGTTTCTGCATATCTTTGGGGGGCAGCCTTATTAGCTGGAAATCGAAGAAGCAGGCCATTGTTTCTTTATCCTCAGTAGAAGCTGAGTATCGAGCTATGAGTAAAGTTGTGGGTGAACTTGTTTGGTTGGTTCGTTTGCTTGCTGATTTAGACTTGCCTATCTCTGCACCAGTTCCTGTTTTCTGTGATAACTTGGTTGCACTTCATATTGCTAAAAACTCAGTTTTTCACGAGCGTACAAAACATATTGAGGTCGATTGTCATTTCATCCGGACTAAGTTGGCTGATGGTCTCATTTTTTTGCATCATGTTGTTACTTCTTCTCAACTTGCTGACATTTTTACTAAGTGTTTAACATGTGGCCATCATCGCTTCTCACTTGGCAAGTTAGGCGTGGTATCACCCTCCAACTTGTGAGGGGGGGGGGGGGGGGTTGGA